TTGCCATTGCAATAGCCGTCGTCTTTGACAACCAGTTTTATCAGCATGCACTTATCGAAATGGGCATATGAAACGGTCTTCATTTTATTGTAGAGTCACTGTAAATGTATATGCCAAATCATAAAAACTTGGTTAGAAACGCATGCATTTTATTAGACTACTTTGAGCCATTCTAATTTGTTTACAAACCCCTTGAAGGCATCTTATATTCGAGTAACTTTATTGACATTAAGTGCATTACTTTAGCTTCATTTTGAGAAGCCACATTTATAAAGAGACAATCACAATGGAGAAATGAAACCATTCCCTTGGACAAAAAATGATATCGTTTCAAATCCATAGAAAAAAGTTCTTTAGAAACACATTCTGTTGAAAAATCGGAATGAAAATATTCGATGGAAAATGATGTGTTGCCTCTGAATTAGCATCATTTGAAAAGGAGATCCGACAACTGTGTGCATTGCCAGCAGATAAATAATCTCAAGTCGATTAGATTTAATGTACGAAAAAAATAAAACAAATAAATTTGGTGGATTGATTTTCACATGCCCGGATGGGACATGGCAGCGGCGGGACAGTTGAAAAGAGTATTTCGAGATGACAAATTACAAACAGACGGATCAGACACCGCCAACTCTCTCTCTCTCTCTCGCTCTCTCGCTCTCACTCGCCTGATTTATGGAACTCTATTTGTTAGCACTTCTGTGGTTGCCAACATCAACCAGACATTCAGCGCTGGAAAATTGAATCAGAAGAAAGAAAAATTCGTTGATTTTATGGCTTCATTGTTACAACCAGAAAAATATCTGACAACATTCTCTTGTTTTTATTGACATTTGTATTCATTGGGTCATTGAATGAATGTCATTGAATAATCGTCATTCAAAAGTCAAACATGTGCATTGTGCGATATATATGCAAAACTACAAAATCAAATCGCCTATAAAATAAAACTTCGATTTACCTTTCTTTTTGCCACATGATCTCAAAAAATCGAAAACAAATCGAATCAACATCGAAGGCAAGCATTCCAGCAAAACAAAAAAATCCCATTTCAAGTAAATTGGTTTTGTGTCACAAAACAGGGAACAGTATTGACACATCAATTTATCAAACACAATAATTGATGAATTAGCCGTTTGAGCGGCTTCACCATTCACCAACCAACAAAGAGAGAAAAAAAACACCATAATTGGTTGGTCCAACGGATGATCAAAAAAACAGCAATGTAAATTGTTTTGTTCGCCGTGGGAAATAAGATGCGTAAATAAGGGAAAGTAGTCTTTTTCTATGCCACACCGTGGATATGCCGGTTCGACAGCGCACTTTTTCCTCTTCGTTTGATAAATATTTGTATGGTATCTCGCCGACGGATGTAATTACTGTCTTGTGTTTTTTTTTCTTCTCCCCATCGCACGCGCATTGCCAGACAACAAAAATGCACTCAGTCCAGCTGAACAATCACTTTGAAAGTCAATATCCCGAGGCTGTCAGAGGAATGCCTGAGCAAAACCGAAAGAAAAAATAATGTGAATGATCTTGAAATCGACAATGTTTCAATTCAGACCAATCAATAATGCGCGTGCACTGTCGCTTTATCCACCAATCCATTCTTTGCTGAGCTCATGTTTGTGCATTAATTTGGTGATTAATACATATTTGAAGTGTTCGTTCAACTGCACAATCACTTAAGGCTCGTACTTAAGAAAATCGCAGCACGGCGCTAGTCCATCCATAAGTGTTCATCAAGCGTTCAATCACGAGAAGAAAAAAAAAAGCACACGGCCAATTTATGTAAAGTCTGTCTGTGATTTCTTGTCATCGTTTTTGATACTCAAATATGAAAATCGCACAAACAAACATAACCTCTTCAACGAAAACAGCAATTTCGTTGATTTTCGTTTTATTCTTCGTTTCATGATGAAAACTAGCAGAAATTTCCAGCGAAAATTGAAAAAGAACCAAGAAAAAAACACAAACGAAAAAAAAAGAGAAACATCATTTACCTTGCCTTGTGAAATTGATGGCGTTTCATTATTAGTGACGTGTGAAAGGAACGTGAAAAAGCAATGAATTCCATAAATTCTGTGAAATGGAAGTTTAATCGTCCGTAAAACAAGAAAATAACACTTGAACATCGACTGGACGCGCGCACCCACCCGGTCGGTTATTTATGCAACCGATTCCTAGGATGCGACGGCACAGGGCACGAAACACACAGCAGTCACAGTGAAAGGGAAAATACTCAGTACATTGAATGCAGGCGGAATTTAAAGAGATTTTCAACAGCAGAATTTTGAAGTGCATAAATTTAAGAGATAAAACTGGAATTTTTCAAAATCCAGCGAGAAATCTGCTTATAATTTCGTCAACAATTTCGTGTAGTTTTATGAAAATTCTTCATCAATTTGTTATTTAACAGATTTAATTAAGGAAAAGAATGAAGAAAATGTTGACTAAATTCTTTTCCCCTTTGTGATCAGATTTGAGCATAATGAAATGACTCAACGCGCAGATTTTGCCTTAATCCAATGAACGGCCTGGGATTTGGCGCTAATTATGAGAAATTCGCGGAACAGCCCAAAAAAGCACGCAGAAACTGTTTAATTTGCTGTGCAAACACCGAAAATCACATCGAACCGATACAGAATTGGTGATGCTGTTGCGACTGCTGATTTAAACATATCTGTTCGGAAGACACGAACGATGCATAATTGATTCCGTTCAATGCGACCGACATGAGAAACTATACCAATGAAACATAGTTTTAAATTATGAGCAACAGCAACTTAAATCACAATCCAAAATGGATCGCATTCACTTTGGATGGGGAATACTGTGCCGAGTAACGACATTGCAGATGCAAGCACGCACTATCACTATAGTTACAATCTCCAAATGTATCGCTTTCAATTGAAGAGGATGCTTATGAGACGCAGAAATAACATTGATACGCTTTCGTGCAGGTTGTGTTTCTTTTGGATTCCTCTCGGCCAGCTCACTTTCTCTTGCTCTCAGTCACTCTCTTGCTCGGTGAATTTAAGTGGGCAATAAAACTGATAAATAGCTACGACAAAACTAAATCGAGCAGCTAACTCGAATACGATTTCCAAATGGAGAAAATCGAGCTCATTCGAACACTTAATGTGCGACTCACTCTCTCTTTTGCCTCCCTCTTGCTCTCGCTCTTCAATATATATTTTATACAGAGTATGCAAAATTGTAAATAATGTGATTTGTCTTGCAGTTCGGCTGTTTGTATCCGATACATGGATGTGTGTGTGTGTGTGTGCAAGAGCTGAATTGTGATTATCAAAATCAATCGAGCGGAAAAATCACTGCAGAATTATTTTGGCTCTCGCTTTATATTCCAAATCGAAAAACTATACACTGTACATAATTGTTTTTGCAGAACATGGTATTCGATGTTGTAATTGGGCAACAATGAATTAGCTTTATCGATCCCCATTGCCAGGCTACTAGACTCACATAATATTCGCAACAAAATACATTAAATCGAAAAGTTCGCTTGAATGACCATTTCAAAAAAAAAAATCGTTCTGAAGAATATAATTCGTACTGCACACAAATTCAATAACAACATTTTAGCAACGATTACGATCATTTCCGTTGACATATTTTGAAAAGTTTTGGCCGGAAACACACCGAAATCGAAGACTGTTTTCATGTTTTCAATCAATTTGATGTATATCGATTGTCATGTTATGAAAACCAAGATCGCTTAATAAACGCAGAAAAACGACACACAATCATCTAGGCGAGGGACACTCAAAACAGTCATCGTACATATATTAAGCGGGCACTATCGATGCGTTCATTTGTGTGAGTGCTATTGTGTAAACGACAATGTTCGTGTTCAATATGTGTACGATGACAGCTTTGAGCATTCCACGCGTAGAGGCGTCTTGGAGTCTTACGTCAAATCTTTCCCACGTATTTGTATACGAAGAAAGCGACCTTGTGAAAACACTGTACATGGCAGATGTCAAAGCAATTTAACTACAACATCAAAAACATCAACGTGTTAGACGCACTTTTTACTTTATATGGCCACAGTTCAATTGTGATGGCACTGATTTGATGACATGCATTTAAATATAGAACTCATAGATAAAAGAGATAGAAATTAAGAGTGCGAATCGTGAACAGGGATAAGAGAAAATATATTTATAAATAGACAATAGAGACACGGACGTGCGTCTATACAGCGTACAATGACTTCTTTGTGAATCGAAGGTCGCAAAAATCGCGACGACAAAAATTGAGTTTTTTTTTGTTGGAAAGTTACAATCGATAATCGAGTTCCAAAATTTCTTATAAAAAAAGATAAAAAAAATTCAGTGACTTAAACAAAACAGGAGTGACAAATACTAAGTCAAAAAGAATTTCGTGAAAAACTCTTTCCGTTTAAAAATGTTTCAAACAAAATACGATGCGGATATTAGAGAGTGGAGCGGTTGTGATCTTCCTCCGTTATATAATCCAAAAATATCGCTCAAGCTCCATAGAAAATTCGCGCTCGAGCATAGTAAGCGTCGACACTAAGAACGGTTGGTCTGACGCGCTGTGTCTACAGTATAAGGCAAAACAACACCACTACATGCGCGCGTTGCTTCATCACACACAGTTCGTTATAGTGGCCGCGCTCGAAGAGTGTGCAAAGGAGAAATAATACATACGTACGACGCTCATGTGACACCTCGTCACACAGATCGTTCTCATATAAGAGCGCCGTATGTATGTATTATTTCCCCTTTACACACTCTTCTTGCGCGGCCACTATAACGAACTGTGTGTGACGAAGCGTCGCGCGCATGTAGTAGTGTCGTTCTGCCTTATAATGTACACACAGAGCGTCAGACCAACCATTCTTAGTGTCGACGCTTACTATGCTCGAGCGCGAATTTTCTATGGAGAAGTATTGCTGGACGCATTAATAGCTTACGGATCAAAAATAGCACACAAGTACTAAACAAAACCAAAATGATCCATGATCATATTGTAAGTAATTGCTAAAACTATTTCTTTATTTTTATAAACGATAACAACGGTGTCCAAATGACATTTGATGAAATTCGCATTAAGACCATTCGAGCCGCTCAAAACCTTCAAAAATATGGATATGAACCAAAACAGGTATTCGGATTGATGGCAAAAAATTCACATCATGTGGCGCCAATTGTGTTCGCTTCAATAAGTATTGGCTGTGCAGTCAATACGCTTGGCCCGTAAATATTCACGTTTGGTGGTAGCAAAGATGAAGCTGAACCAGTGGAACATTTGTTTTTTGAAACTCACAACGAAGATGATTTTTTGTAAGTGTGATTCAAACTTGAAAAATTCATGTTCATTTTATTTTATTTGACACCGCCAAGCTCTGGCTGAATATATTATAATAGAATAGAGGTGTGGCCGGAAGAGAGTGCAAGACTGTTCAATTTTTATTAGTTCACAATGAATTATAATAACAGCAGCAATAACTATCAGGTTTCGCCACGTTAAAAACCATGCTCTTTTCGTAATCTTTTTAGCATTTACACAAGTAGGACATGAAAACAAAAACACAGTCATACAACCAAGATGGAAATGCTTGATAGTAGTCAGATAGCAAACGGTCCAAAATAACCTGTGTTGTATTCACGAAACTCATTCAAATATTTATATTATTATTTCAAAAAAAAATAAAAATTACATCAAAACAGGCCAATGGCAGTCGATGGTGAGAATGAAGCGGCCATTATCGTTTGCTCGTCTGGCACAACTGGGTTTTCGAAAGGTTTATTTTTATGTTTAATTCGACTTCGTTTTCAAATTCACTAAATTATTTGATTTATTGATTTCTCTACTTGAAGGAGTTTGTTTGTCTCATGCAGCATTGCTTGATTCCTTATCTTCGTTCCGTGTTTCCCGCCGAGTGCTGTGCTGCTATGCTTTAGTTCACTCTACTGGATTAGTGGCATCGTAATATTGCTGCGAGGAACATTGCACGATTCTACTCGTGTTATAACAACTGAAGCCTATTCACCAAAACTGCAGCTTCGAATGATCGAAAAATATAAATTTACATATACGATGAATGCACCGCATCAGATGGTGTTGATGTTGAAAATTGATGATCTTACTAAAGCCGATTTATCGAGTTTAAAAATTTGTTTTGTTGGTGGAAGCAAAGTACCTTTTTATGTGCAAACCGAAATGAATTCTATTCTTCCAAATGGACACGTGCACGTCGCCTATGGAATGAGTGAAATGGCTGGTAGTGTAGCGCGTGATTTTCCCCGACTAAGCGGGAAAGATTGCGTTGGTCGATTAGTCGCTGGAAGTCATGCCAAAATTATTGACGATCAAGGTCAACGGTGTGGAGTCAATGTGAACGGAGAGATATGTTTTAAAATGAATTATCGCTTCCTCGGATATTATGGCAATCAAAAGGCAACCGACGAGCTATTTGACGATGAAGGTTTCCTTATGACCGGTGATATTGGCCATTTCGATGATGATGGATTTTTGTTCATTGTCGATCGGAAGAAGGATCTTTTGAAATATACCGGTTTTCATCTTTCTCCATCAGAAATCGATGCCTATTTGATCCAATCGCCTTGTATTAAATCAGCTTGTGTCGTTGGCATTCCTGATGGCATTGCTAATGATTCACCAGCAGCTGGGCTAATGGATCGAATTATTCAGAGAAACAAGTTTTTGATTTGGTTGCAGGTAATTCGAAATAATTTTTAATCAATTTAATTAAATTTTATTTAAAATCTTACTTTTATCTGCAAACTTGTATTGAAACATCATTCTTGTTTAGTTTTAGTTGAATATTTGATTGTTTTTTTTTTCTCAGATCACTTCGCGGACCATTGCAAACTTCGAGGTGGTGTTTATTTTATTGATTCACTACCAACAACGCCTTCAGGGAAGGTTCTGAGAATGAAAGTGAAGGAAACTGCAATTCCTTTATTCAATTCAAACCATAATTGTATTGAAGCTACCATGTCATTCTTTATTAAGTTTTTGCACTATATTGTTTATTGAGGAAGTTAGTGGAAAACTACATTTTTTTATTTATCCGAAAACAACGAAAACCAATCAGACATAAAATTTACACTATTATAAGGTGGGGGCAGTGCCAAAAAACCCTTGTAGAAAACAAATGTGTGGAAGAGGGACTTGCGTTGAAAGAGAATATCACAAAAGTATTTAATTTTCATTTTATTTTATTCTATCCTGAGTGCATGGTGTAAAAAACACTTCATTATCCTTTTCACAAGCCTAAGCTTTTTTGGACTGCATACGTGAATACACATCAATTTGTAAATGGTCTAAAAGTATCGGAGTTCCCCAATTTTTATTTGGAATAGGGATGAAATTTAAAATGTTTGCATCGAAATGTTTTCGAATAGCTATGTATTTTGCAAATCTGTGTACATCTCCATTAGAATGTACCTTTAAAAAAAGGTGTTCTTACTCAAAAGAATTTAAACACAATACAAATGGAAATGAAATTTCGAATGAATCATTTCCCGAAGGTGTAAATTCACTCAATTCGATAACTTGATTAGAATATGAAATCCGTATCCACCTGACGAAAAGAGACATTCAGATATACCTGAATTCGATTTACAGAAAGATATTCTTTTGAACGGATCTAATTGTCTATTCCAAATCTAATATTCCAACAACTCTAACGAATAAAGGTATACTGCAGCAAACTATCGTGAATAAAGTTGAATTGAATTGCTGAGAAAAGTTGTAAACTTAAATAAACACATTTACCAAAGAGAGAAAGAAATCATATTGTATAAGTGTGTGATGTAACACCTTAAGTTTCAATAGAAATGAATCTTTTTCTAAACATTTAAGTGCTACCCGTGTGGAAAATGTTTGACTGACTAAAAGTGATTGTCTCGAACAAAATAAGCAACTGCAGTTAACTTCACAATCACTCTTAGTCAAAATGTCCCAAATTAGTCGACTGACTGAAAGAATAAGTAAACGTGATTGTCTCCATACAAAACGCATGATTTCAATCAACTTAGCCAGTTTTAGTTGTGTATCACTACATACAGTTACATACAATTGAGTGACTGTTAGTCATTTTATTCACACACGGGATAAGCACAAAATAGAGTTCAATCAAATTTTTAAAATGAATTTCAATTTTATCATTTGCTTCGATATTTAAAAGTCTTTGCGTGATATTGTTAGTAGAAAATTGATTATGCTAGCATAATTAATTATGAACCAGGTGGTTCTAATTGCATGTAATCGTAATCAGTATGACTCGATTATTCTTTCTGATTTCGTGCAATAAATTGTAATGGAGTTGTTCAAAACATTCATGATTTTTCGTATTATGTGTTGAGCAGTTAGCATTCAAGCGTTGAATTCTTATGTGTAAACTTGTTTGATGACAAGTATAAATGAGAAAATGGCTTTAATCACCTGAAAACAAAATTGATATGGATTCAAATCCGGATTTTTCTAGCTTCGACGTAAAATTGTGCAAATACCGAAGCAAAAGTAGCAGAACCGCACTCAAATTTGCCATAGCCGGTCAAAATTCGTTGCTTCTGTGCCAATGGCATCATCATTGGCAAATACTTTTGTAAATCCAACGGCATTTTTTCCTATTCCATAAAGTATAATTCATTCGATAACGCATATATCTAAATGATTGAAGCGATAGAATTTAATGGAAAATTTCAAACGCCCACATCAATGTGCGTGAGCTTACACGAAATGAAATCTCATTCCCAACACCAGCTGTAACAAATAGTTTTGTGAGAGCATTTAACATAATCGCTTTGAATTGAATGATTTCACTGCTGCCACCCAAAAGCTATGTAGAAGTGAATAATGGAAAAAATGATCCGAGCAGAAAATAGAGTGTGGTGAATTAAAAGAACCAATGTTTCGTACATTTCGAAGAAGCTGCATGAACGATTGATTGAATGCAATCAATTTTACAACTTAAATATTTTAGAAGTAAAAAAATAACTATTCGGAGACTCACTTCAGGATTTTCTAATAATGGAACGACATCACATATAGCATATGCTCCTTAACTCTCAATCTAAAGTCGCTGCTATGACGATATCTGAAATATTGTTTCGGACACTCGAATATTTGGAATTCCTGCGAAAATATTCAGATTGAAAAAGTGATAAAATCACCTATGAATGACCGGAACCGTTTCTTGAATTTCGTATTGCAAATCCTTTGCACAGGCGAAAATCGAAAATCCAGACCGAAGATACATTTCTTGGATGAAAACTTTTCCCAAACCAACCGAGTGTATGCTCAATGCGGACGCAATAACCAGTAACAAATATCTCCATGCGCTGTTTATCGGGAAAAAAGTCTGGATCTGTTTGGACAATATACCCAATTCATAGATCTTTTTTTGAAGAAGAAAAACACTTTGTTCTCACTCATAAAATGAAAGGGTTTAGTCCAATCTTCCTCCGCCATTTCTGCGGCTGTAAAATACTTTTTAAAAGTCATTATTGCCACGGGATAAACCAACGTCGAACCGGTCATAAAATCAAATATCAATTAAAACCAATTCATTGTTGAATAAATTCGATCAGCTTTCTGTTAAAATTTTCCAGCGACCGTATGCATTCCTGCAAAATTTGGTCTCAGCCATGATTTTCAAATGTTTTTTTTTTTTTTCAAATATTAATATACTACTTTTATCCAGTCTCATTTTTTATGAAGAAGAATTCATGTTTGTACATACTTACTTTCAGCCATATCATCTAACTGCCCATAGGGTTCGCGTAGAACGCGTGTTTTGTAAAGGCTCGCATAAACTTCGCTGAAAACGTACAATTGGATCGTCAGATAGTAGAATGCTTGCTAGGGTCGCTTCCATATTTCTCGCATTCGAATTCCCTTATAAACGGCCACGATCTTGAAAAAAAGCAGATCCAAAGTTGTTTTATTCTTTATTTTATTCGTTTTTTCGTCCTTTGGTAAAGAAATGTCTTTGTTCAAAATGATTTGTTATATTTACAAAACGACCCTCACTGACGGTATTAGCAGCATATCTAAAATGACATTGAAAGCAATGCGTGCACATTTCCGACTCCGATAAAGTTGATCAATTTTCGTTTGGAAAAAAACCGAAAAATGCAAGGATTCGCCTTGTTCGCATGTCTTTCAGCAATTTTCACACTTGTCACTAGCAAAACAATGGATATACAGTGAACTTGATTTCTGCCAAACTTTGATACTTGCTTCCAACACTTTGAGGCTACCGAAGAGTCATTCTCAATTTATCACGGTATTTATACCATTAAGGTGAACTTTGCTATTCGTGACAATCGAATGTAAACAATTAAATTAAAATCAATTAAACATCTGTCCCATAAATTAGTGTCTACAACTGTTTGCATTGAAGAGTGCTTGCAATAACAAACATTTATTATTTAAAAATTACAAGAGCATATTGCGTTTAAAATTCAACCAAAAAACACGAAAAGGGTGTCTTCTTCATTGTGATATTTTGTTCTGGTAGGAATATCATTGCGAAATGGTAAACTTTAATCAATTATCAAAGCAGTGAAATGTCTGTCCCCACCAGTCCCCACGTCTGTAACAGCACGCGAATTCAACGCTAAAGAGGTGTCTAGTCTAAATGGAAAATTCCTCCAATGGGTGAAAATGGTGTCAACAAACTTAAATGGTGCAACTATAATTGCGTTTCTAAATGAAATATTTTACTCGTATAAAACATAGACTCATGTGTTGGTTTGCTTAACAATTACAGAGATTTACACAAACTGTCTGAGTAAAAGGATGAATGACACAATCGCTTTGACCACCTGACATGCGAAATATATAAAAAGTAGAAGTTTATGGAAATTTTAAAAATCAGTGTTTTTTTTTCTGTTGAAATACCGAGGAAAAAGTCAACCAATCGCATTTCAATATTCCGTATCCAGTGAGATAAAGAGGCTTCTGTAGCAATGGCAACATAATCACGAGATATTTTCTGAATTTCAATGGCAGCTTCTCCCATTCAACCGAATACATATCGTTTGACATTTGGAATATCTAAATTTTATTTTGAACATTGGAGAAATTTTTCACTCAAAACCATGAAGATTTTGTAGAAATGAACCAATTTTTCGGAAAATGAAAATCATTAATAATTCCAGTCACTCACATAAAGGGAAATCTCCGTTCCCAACTTTGACGTCATAAGCAACGATATGAATGCGGCCAATAAAACGGTTTTGAATTGAATGATATCACTACTACCACCAAGGAGCTATTGAAAAAAGTTAAGAATTAAACCGTCCCCAATGGTTAGGTAGCGAAGAAACCCATAATTTCTTAAAATAAATGAGGAACATACATTTTGGGCAACCAAAAATCCAGTTGAACCAAGCAGAAAATAAAGTGCTGCAAACTCGAAAAATACCACTCCAGTGACCATTGAAGCATACAAGTCGAAAAGGCTAAAAACAACGTTTTTTAAATAATTTGTCGCATTATTTTAAAACTTTTTTTTGTCTTACACAAAGATTTTTTGATGAAAGAATAGAATTTGCTTGAAATGCTCCGTTAGACGTAATTCAAAATTGTTGTCTTTTTGATACCTATGAACGAAATGAATTCAAAGCCATTGAAATTAAATTTTGTTTCGTTTTCGATTTTGAAATTTTTTGAATTTCCAACAAAATTCATTAGAAAATTCTCTATTTTTTCCACAAGAAATGAGACTTACTCATGAATGATCGCATTAATTTGCGCTATTTCTTGGCCCATATCCATTGTGCATGCAATTATTTGGAATCCTCCACGATAATACAGTTCGTGAATGATAATTTTTCCCAATGCCACACCGTAAATACTCAGTGCAGACAGAGTGATAACCAGTGAATATTTCCACAAATTGTCCAATTCGAAAGGTATACTAATCGAAAAAATATGAACGAATCAATTTCTTGATTGAAATTGACTAAAATCGTTTGTTTTCCGATTCAGAAAGTATCGACTCACGCAAAATAAAATGGAATTATCCATTGCTCTGGCGTCATTCCATCGGATGTGAAATAATTTTGAAGTGTAGATATAACTGATGGGATGACCATTGTGGCCAGTGTCATGATGCTCAATACCAAATAAGCCCAGTAGAGAATTGAATACAACCGATCAGCTTTGGTATAATATTTACCAGACGCAGTACCAAGGCCTGTATTGAATTATGAATTGAAAATTTAAAATCAAATTATACAATTCATATTCACTTACGTTCGACCATATTTTCCTCAAGCATTCCAAATAGCCTACGAAGTCCATCGGTATCATTCATGCTTGAGTAAAAAGCGGTGGTTATATAGAACTGGATGGCCAAGTAATAGAATGCCCGAAGAGTAAGATCCATGTTCTTCTCGTTTAAGCTTCGGAAAACAGCTATAATCTAAAGGCAATATTGAAAGAAAATACAGTAAAACCTGTCAATAACGGAACCTGGAAATAGCGGAATTCTTGTCAATAGCGGAAAATAAATTTGGCCATTGAGCTCTCCTATGCAAATCGACCTGTTAATAGCGGAAAAAGCAAACTCTGAATAACGGAAAAAAGTTTTGTGGCTAAGTTTTTGTTCTATCTAAAACTAATTTTCTCGTCTATTACACAACAAATATTCAGGAGAAAATGACTTCAAAACATAAAATTCTGTTATATTACGTACATTCTAGCATCAGTTTTTACTTTTTGGTTGACTCAAACCAAACACTTTCATTCTTGACCTACATTACGAATGCATGTTGCCATTCGATAAGAACATGCATAGACAGGGTATTTTTCGTTACAGTTGCTCCATGTACAATTTGATTCGAATCATCGAACAGCGCAATTAATCTCTTTCGATAATATGAGCCGTTTATTTTCTTATTTCAAATCATCGTTTAGACTGTCGACAACGCAACAGCAATCAAACATACGATGGCATTAGACATGCTGAAAGAACTCAGACTTTTTGCTTGCGCTAAAGGAAATACATGTTTACTTGATAAAGTCGAAGATTGCATAAACATTGTGCAGGATGATAAACCAACAAAGAAAAACCAAACAAGCTACACTTAACTGATTACTTTTCGAAAAATAAAGATTAATATTTTGGCGTTTTAAATTCATACAACTTGCTCTCAACATACTTATATGTTTGTTACATTAAATATACATTAAAACATATGAAATTGGCGTTTTTTCTTCAATTTTACTCTCAATAGCGGAAAATCATGTTTGTATCGAATCAAATACCTGTCAATAACGGAACCCGTGGGGAAAATTTATTTTCCGCTATTGGCAAGAATTCCGCTATTTCCAGGTTCCGTTATTCACAGGTTTTACTCTATGTCCATCTGCCAAAATTGTTTTTCAAAGGAAAAAAAAATAATGAAATTGAAGAATACCTACCGATGGAAAGATTAACATCACCAAGAAAACTTGCTGCGAAATTCGCCCAATTGACCGATACAAACCATGTTGATCATTTGAAATTGGTAAAAAACCGAACACTTTTAAAATTTTCATCTTTTCACTTTCACTGATTTTCACGATTTGTCGAAATGGACGAGAAGCGATTCAATTTATAGGGAAATGAGGTGATGACTTTCAGACTAAAATAATTAAAAGGTTTTCATACCTCGGTGTTTTTAATCACATAATTATACGTGTCATAATTGCTAGTCATCATTGATGAATTTTGAAACACCGACCGTTTTCATGAATTTGACTTTTTTTCGCGTTAATTTTGAGATAAAGGATTAACTCGCAAAGGAATGAATGTGCGATTGACCAGCTGCGTTCTTTATTCTCTATTATTCTTCAGTTTAATAATGAAAAAAAAAATAAAGTTAAATAGCTATTTTATATTATGAATAAGCTGAGATGAGACGTCACTGATCCATTCGCAACCAAATCAATAAGTTCCATCAGACTTCAAATGTTCGTTTTTAATCCGAATGAATGAAAAGTAGCTACTTAATTCAAGATAATAACTACCAACATCTGTAATTATGAATTAATTATTCTCTGTCTACGCACATGATGTGTGGCACATCGGATTTTCGGCATAAAATTTCAAATGCAATCGGATATGTGGTCATTTTATCAATTTAATATTACGATAGAAGAGAAGACCCATCCATTTTGCTAAGTTCATAATCTTTATAGTCTGCGGACTTTTCAATTGTTTTTACAGTGTCTGGGTTATTGACCAGGAACATATACGTGATTAGATCTCCCATTCCCATTCCTACACATGATTCTTAAATAGGTGTAATCTGAACTTTCAGCCATAATTGTTTCATTGTGGGCAATTCAATAAAATTATTATATCTACTGGATGATGATCAATATGTCAGATTCAAAGATGTATTTCGTTTGTATTCCTAATAGATAAGTATAGTGGTCAAAATCTGCTACATTTCTCATGATATGATAATTTTTTTTTCAACTAGATAATCCCAACAGTGATTCAGAATCGATGATACTTACAATTTTCTTCATTTATTTTAAATTCAAAATCTTTTTCAAAGATCGAATCTCACCTTTAAAGAGTCACAATGTTGTAAGAGTCCTTTATGAAATGCTGTTGAATGGATTAATGTTCGATAATATCAACAACAACATTTTCGTCTCGTTCACTTTCCGATTTGAGCTTAATACATAAGCTTTCATTCATTGCTCGGACTTTGAAAGGTTTACTTACCGTCACAGCAATAACCTGTTACCAGCGAGTGCTTAAGCATTTAAAAGGTTTCTTTTTTTTTTGAAATGTAAAACCAATTGATTTTCAAACACACAGTTTATTACAACGATATTGAGAATTTTAACAAAAAAAAGTGGTTCAATGGATCTAAATGTAATTTGTTCGTTTGTTTTTTTTCGGTCGGCTCTTTCGAATCGGATGAATCCATTGGTTTGGTATTTTGTTGGAAGAATGAACAAATCATTGCATTTTACAACTAATTGAAATTGACAACGGGAAATTATATATACGTAAACAGGACTAGAACATAAAGTACATGTGTGTGATAGGTTGACAGTTCGCGACACGTGCAATGTTAGCTTCATTCCGATTAAACACGATTATATTCATAAAATAGATTCCCATGGAACGTAAGTAGTATAGACGACGAAAAAGTAACAGTGAACTAGATAAATAATTCAAATGAATGTGCAAATTAATAGATAGACCTTGGGAGTTTATATACCATCTGAAGAAAGTAAGTAGAAATTGGACGGTTAGTCAATGTCGTCAAATGGAATTGAATATGTGTGTGTTCTATATAACGGAAGAAAATACCGTCCGATACGTTCTTTTTTTTGGTTTGTTTGTTTGATGTCGTGTGAATAATGAGCAGGGAAGAAGGTAGACAAGTTAAAGCCTTGTGTATGTGCGCATCTCTTCAATAAAGTCGAAAGGGTCGCGGATGAAATGCGCGAATGATGCCTGGTGGAGGTGCGTTCTCATTGCTGTTCCGACGAGATCGTAAATTGGTCGTTGATCTCGATGTGACGGACAACACCAAGCATTCGGCTGGCAATGACATTGACGCCGACAATGACGGCCGCACATCATAATCCCAATCCGACTAAAAACGTTCAAGAGCAATTCAGAAATATGGTCCATGTTATTAATTCAGTTTGATTTGGACAACTCCAATTAATGGATGAAAAAAAAACGAAACAAATCTTCGAACTGAAAAAAATAAAGAAAATCTGGAAAAAAAATCTTTAAAGCGCTATTTGTTTAGAAAAATTAAGACAATTTCAAAAAAATTCATATAGATTCATACTTGATCAAAAAATATTTCAAAATCAAAAATATTTTCGTCCAAAAAAATATTTGCAAAAAATTATTGTGTCAAAAATGTTTTTTTCTTCTTTTTTTTTCAAAAATAAAATCATTTTTGAGTGTTTTTTTTATGTTGGTGTGAAACGAAAGCGAATTTAAAGACAATTTTCTTACTTACCAAGAAGTTTTTGTTTATAGAAAATTGATAAATAATTGAGAATATTCAAGTGCGCAAATCAAAAGAAAACATTGTGTTTGTCGAATCAAATTGATTTACCGATTACAATTGTTTGTTTGCGCTTACAGAATTTGGTAATAGTTGGTGTTGGGTGGTATCGATCAAATTTCGATGGTGTCATGACTAATTAAGCGATTTGAATAAGTAATTTTGAGATATTTTGTACACACTGATCCGATTCGAAAGAAAAAGCTCACGAATAACAAACAGAAGAGCCAAGAGCAAGTGTGCTTGTTCTTGGCAATCAAATGCTAGAAAATACCAAAAGCGTAATTGACTCTTAAATAATGTAATATGGGGTGCGTGGTGAACGTTATCGTTTCACTAGTTGCTGCGCTATAGATAAACATTGAAATACGATACGACAAAAAAAAATACAAATTAAAAATGCAATTGAGATTATTTTGTTATCTGCATTTTCATTTATAATGAAATAGAAACTGGCTAGAACAATGACTTGAAAAAGTGCATGAATTGTTGTTGTTTTTATTGACATCAGTTTTTATTAAATATTCATTTGATTGGATGTTTTTTGTTTGTAGTTGTTGATTTTTCTTCATAATAAAATTAGTACACAATTAATACGGTTGCCATTTACGATTTGTTTTACTTGATTTCAATAATATTAGAATATTATCATTACTTGGATTGGATATTATATATCATTCCATGAAATGCGTAATAATGAGACGCAATATATGTGTAAAAAGAGCAAATATGCCATTACATAGCAAAAAAAAAGAGAATAAAGATATAATAATAATATAACTCAAAGTAAAAACGATCATATCTCAAAAATTAAAACTCAAAAAAAAAATTATGGTTGAGTGCATAGAAAATCTACGCGCGCACTATATTTACTACCTTATCTAATAATCAAGTATGTACGTGAAGGTTTTTTAAGTTAATTTTTTTTGTAGGTTTTGTTTGTTGTTTTGTTTCATTTTCAATAATGATTTTTTTTTTCTAAATCTTTTGTCTTTTTTTTTTGTTTGTTTGTTGTTGTTGCTGTTCTTGTTTTTTTTTGTTCAAAAATCAATTTTTACGTAAAAAAAAGAAAGAATAAAACGTTCCGTTTCCAAACGCAATTACAACAGTGCTGTTAAACACACTCTACTCATTTGCGCTTGCTTCGGATGATTGCTTTTCAGCATTAATATCGCTTTCTTTAGAACCAACCTTTGGCTTTGCATTTCCATAGTCGGTCTTAAAGTTCATTATCTTTTTGTCACCACCGCCCGGTTTGTGATCTTTATTTTCAAGAGAACCAATTTTAGATTTAGCGTTCCATTGCAATTTAGTACTTATAATCTGGTAATGGAGAATAGAAATAAACGGCAAAGTTAGTTGATTTGTTGATTGATTCGAATTATGGCTATAGATAAGAGGTAATTGTGTCAATAAACTTTATCGTTTACCTTTTTATCACCTCCTTTCGGTGCATAAGCATCATTCTTAGCTGCAATGCGAGATTGAACATTGAATTCTAATTTTTTCGATTCTATTTTTACGTTACCGCCTCCTGGTTTATGTGTTGTATTTTGAAGAGATCCAATCTTCGATTTTACTTCCCGTAATTTCGGTGGTGGTGCGTTGCCAACTCTGATCTTATTCATCGGTACTGTTGCATAGAATCGATTTGTTCAGGAAGACAAAGAAAACAAAAACTCAAAGAATGGCACTGACATGTATAACGGACTCGTTCGTACTAATGACATCTAAAAAAGAGCCGTCAGTGCGAACGAGGCGAAGACTCACAGTTCCACATTTGAGTCCAAATCCGAGATTCTCAACCGTACTTAACAACAAATCCAAATTACCTTTCTTCGGTGGTTCAGCAGGTTTCTCCAGTAACTTCATTCGGGATCGTGATGAGCTTCGGGTGATGTCCTCCTGGCTTTTATGCGAAGATGCTCGACTAGCTGCTCGAACACTTGATTCATCCTGCAATTTGGAATAATGACAATTAATTGACTCTAAATACTTTGCACTTGACCTTTCTCTCTCTCTCTCTCTCTTTCTCTCTTTTTTAATTTTTCTTCCTATCTCTCTATTCGTCTATTTTTTTTCTCTACTCGTCTCTTCTGAGGTTAATCAATTTGACTCATAGTTTATCACGTACCGCTTTGCCGTTGGTTCCGTTTTGCTTTTGATCTTCGGTCGGCGATCTCTTGGCGACAGCCGGTTTAGTTGGTTGTGGCAAACCTGTTGCTCTTGGTGCATTTGACTCAGTATGCGAATTCTGTAAGACACTTGATGCATTTCGTGGATTTTGCGTATCCGGAATTGATCTCACCAATGGCTGATTTTGTTTGAGATCATAATCGGGTTTGCCGCCTTGTTGATCGATTTTCATCTGAATAAAAGTAAAATATTTCAAATATTAAATATTATATTTGAGTATTGAATGAAATTTCACTTTCATATATCGATCACATCAAATATTAGCAAGTTTTGCATCTAAATCATCATCATCTAAACACTAATCCAGTAGATGAAATACTTACGTTGCCAATAGGCCGAACGATGACATCATCAACGTCATCGGAATTGGAAATTAAGTAGCTCGGTTGGCTTGGATTAGCCGTTTCCGTAGCCATTTTGGTGCGTTCCTCCAAATGAGTCGGTAGCTTTTGTAAATTTAGATTGTAAGCTGGATTGATGGGTCTTGGTTGCGTTTGGATCTGTGGTCGATATTGCTGATTCGGTTGGTTCAAACGAACTGGACCGTCAGACGATAGATTTTGCGAGTATTGCTGCTGTGGTGCCGGTTGCGTTGGTCGATTTTGCACAGGCTGATAGCTACCTAGATTCACCGGTTGGTTCGAACTTAGGTTTTGCACTTGAGCTGGAATTTGCGCCCGAATCAATTGCGGTGGGCGCTGTTGTGGTATTTGTGCTTGTTGTGGCACCGGAGCCCTGTTAATTGGTTGATATTGTTGTTGCCCAGTTGGAGCTTGTTGCTGTTGCACCGGAGGTGGACCACGGTTTATCAATGGCCGATGAGCTTGAAATTGCTGCTGTTGCTGTTGCTGCTGCTGTTGTTGTTGTTGCGGTGGTGGCTGAAAATGGAATTTCTTGAATTAGTCTCCATTGTTTGTAGACTTTTTTCGTATTTATGAACAACAAACTAAATTTTCAATGTTATTTTCCAACAAATTTAATTTTCATCCATGAGGCACTGAACTTAAAAGTTCTCAATTCTGGATTCAAATGTATTTTAAATATATTCGATTAAGAGATAATACCTGTTGCAAAATTTGCCTTGGTTGAAATTGAGGTTGAGCGCTCGGCTGCTGCTGCTGCTGTTGCTGCTGAATGGGTCTCTGAATCGGAATCTGCTGTTGACTCGATTGTAAAGGAGCTTGTGGAGCGATACCGATTCGACTGTCTGTGCGCTGAATAGACTGATGGCCGATTGGCAACTCTGTTAAAACAACCGAAGGTCGTCTTGTGATTTGATTGATCGGTGCGACTTGATCTCGATTCGCTTGATTTAATCCGGCTACCGACGAATATTGTTGCGGCAATTGAGGCTTCACCGATTCCTGTATCACACACACATAAATGACAACAAGATGTTAACTATCACCACGAAAACCACAAAATTATGAATTATTGAATTGAAAATCATTTAAAATGTTCGTTCCGAGATTGGATCATGATTCAAGGCGATCACAATCTCTGGATATACGCATAATTTAATTTACCGCATCATTGCCCTTTATTTCGAAAAAAAGAACAAGAGTAAAATGAAATATTGGTTAATAAAAAATTGGTCGATTGAAACGAATCTTCAAACAACTAAACGATTAAGATGACTGAATCCAACAATTACGGATGATGATTCAACTAGTGTACGAAAATGTAATCAAACGAACAGAAAGAAGAAAAAAAACAGTGAGAGAGAGAGGAGAATGTTGCTGAAACTGCAATCGATTTGTTCACTTTTTTGTGTTGTTGTTGGATGTATATTGTGACCAATTTTAGCGATGAACAAATGGCATTTTAGGCCTTCCCCAACCTCAATTTCAATGCTCATGCCTCAAACTCACTTACACATCGTATATATTTAACGAATGGAAGCACAAGAGCCATTAAGTGAACTAAAATAAAATGAAAATAAAAATGACATAATTCTCGACGGTGCCATATGCATAATAGATGATGTGCTGTGTGAGGGCATACCGAGCCGATATCAATCTTCCTGCTTTTCCAACAGAAAAACCGTGTGGCGTTTTCGTTTTTTTTGCAAAGCAAGAGTTTCACACAATAAAGTACACGGTGCGCGCACTAGATGCAATGAACGCATGTATTCGTCGGTGTGTGTTTGTGTGTGCATTCTATATGGTCGCAGCGAATGAAATGTCATTAGCTAACTACAAATATAGAATGTTGTATTGCACACTGGTTGGACGAGACCTATCGATTTCTGGAAAATCCACCACTTTGTCGCTTTTGGTCGCTTCGGTTTTTCGTCTTTGTTTCACTTTCTTTTCTATTTTTATGCTACGTTTGAACATCGATCGATCCAATTGTGTACAAGTGTGTGGCATTTGTGAAATGTGAAAATGGATGGTAACAACTACGAGTGTTCGAGACACTTCTCTTGACTCGCGTTGCAAATCACATGAAAAATGTATAGATCTCACTCGAATCCATTGTTGTCGCTCAAACTTGAATAAACCGAAATGAAACAACGGAAAAAAATATGAACGTGCATTTTGAATGATACAATTGCAAATGTACAAATTATGTTTCGCCCTTTTTCCGTGCTCAAAATGCGTTGAATGAAGTAACAAAACAAAAAACGATGGGAAAAAGGATTTGCTTTTTTTTGCTTATAATTTGAATTCCAAAAATACCTCGTTGCTTCGCATTTGCATTGGATCCATTTTTTGAACTTTGTTTGCACTTCAAAACCAAAATCTGTTCAATCACACTGTGCTATCGCTTTGCAAATCTGTAATCGATCTTACAAATGTCGAGATCGTAACGTGTTTTTTTTCGTCTTGGGTTCTTTGGTTTTCCAAAGTCCGTCGTGTATGTGTGTGTGTGTTAGTCTATATTTCAGAAATGCTATTTGACTAAGTTTTTTTTTGTGGGCTTTAATTAGCTTTCACCTAAATCGTAAAAAGAAATTTTGATGAAAAAAACAGGTAATCCAACAAAATGAGCCAAAGAAAATTCTAACGACAGCATTTGTCGATTGCAAAAAATCTTATTATCGTGTGTTCATTATACTGAGCGTGTGATTTGCATTTTGACTAAAAAAAATTAGTGGCAGCGGCGGCGCCAACGATTTTCACAGTGTATCTCAAAATCTACAGCAGCAGAAATTCTACAAGAACAACATTTCCTACTGCTATTTCCAATGCAGAACATTCCATTTTTGTTCCTTTTTTGCAGGTAATATTTTGTCGCTCAGATTATGGTTGTCATCAGTTTCATAATAGAAGCGAAAAACAAAGATTTAAATACAAATTTAAGCAGTCACGCATATTTAAGTACATTTACAACAAACAGCAACGAATCCAATTCAACTGAACGACTTACTACTGAGTGAAATTGCCGAAAAATAAATATGACGAAAAACAAAAGAACCAAATCAAAATTGGAATCAATAACAAAAATCGACCGAAAACCAAAAACTTTTTTTGCAGCCTGGAAATGAATAAATAAATAGGCATACACCGTTTAAATGCTTTTGTTGATCCGTTTCCAACAACATTTCTCCATTGGGCGAATGAGTAAAAGAACGAGAGCGAGCGAGAGGGAGAATCGCCTATAAATAGTTTCATTACCTAGATTTTGTTTCCACCCCACCGGCGAATAAAAACGAAATGCTTGGTTATTTATGAACTCCAACTTTTGATCCTAATTTGTTTGTCATGTGCGACATGGGAGAATGTACTACAATAAATTCAAATATGTTTCGGTTGCGTTTTGCCGAATTGATCAACGAGCACAAAACAAATATACAAGCACCTAGTTTCAGTCATAATTTTTTTTTCCTCTCTTTCTTTCGTTTTCAAAATTGAAGTGAATGCCGAAAAAAACGAAAGAAAAAAAAATATAATTTCGATTTATATTTCGTTGGCATATCAAGGCGGCTTTTGTTGTTTCCATGAGCATTTTCGCATGTTTCTTGCTCGCTTTTGGGGAATATATTTTATGGTTTGTTGCTGGTTTTCGTGGTGGGTATTCGCTTTGGCCACAAAATGTGATCGCTATGGGTTTTTTGGCACATTTCGTGTGTCGAAAAACATTTTCTTCATTCCCGAAAAATGAATGGAAGAAAACGAATAGTTCGAAACGAATTCGCTTTTGTAGACAGTGGAAACAATGAATGGCAAAAACTGAAAATTTTTCAGGACAAAAGTCGATTTTCGGCAAGAAACTATTTCTAAGTAGTTATTTCTAGGAACATGAAATAATCAATCATGAATTATGAGTCGCGCGAAGCAGTGCCATTTAGTTGCGATTTATCAGATAAGCGGTTTGTTGATTAAATTCACGATTCAAACAAGACATACATATCTATGGGTGAGATTGAGAGTGGAGTATGTTTTTTCTTCGATTTTTATTTTTGAAAAGGCGAGTATGTTTTCTGATGATTCTGTTGGCGTTAAAGTAGAGTATGTTGTAGTACCGTCTAGCCTCCGCGGTCTTCATGGTTTTCGCGCAACTGATAAAAGATAACAACATAGTGTCTTCGGCAAAGTTGTAGTACTTGAAGTCTTCTATAACTAAGCTGAAGAAAGTTATCTCTTATCTCTTATCAGTTGCGCGCAAATCGCGCACATAAAAAAGCAAATTTTATATAGAACTTTTTTTTTCTTATCATTTTTCGCGCTTTTCGCGGAACTGATAAGAGATAAGAGATAACTGTCTTCAGCGATGTTATAGAAGACCTCGAGTGCTACAACTTTGCCGAAGACACCAAGTTGTTATCTCTTATCAGTTCCGCGGAAACCGTGAAAAACCGCGAGGACCCGCTAAAAACGAACATACTCGCTTTTAACCATTTTTAAGTCGACAGAAACTTGCTCTTCTCTTTCGTAACAAAGTCAATCAAACATACACTACTCTCAATCTCACCCATAGATATATGGTTCGATTCGTGTCTTCATTTTATTCATCAAGTCGAATGAGTTTTTCTGTTGTTGCCAAAGAAATGGTTACTAAATCGATATCTTGTTGTTTGTCGATCATCGTCGGTACAATTAGAAGAGTCAAGCACCCGTTTCAATCTATTTGCTCTGTTGCAAAAATGTATGCTTATTTTATGGGTTAGTTCATGGTTTAAGCCAATTACATAGTTGCTTGCACATTCAAATCACTTTTCTCATCGCCGTCTATCGACCGTTTTGATCTTCGTTTCTGCTTTAATTCTTCTACGCTTTGGCAACCAATAGCTACTGCAACTCAATATAGTGAGTTAAATATTATAACAATGGCCCGACATCCAAAGAACATTGTCTTATGCGTAATTTTTGACTCGATTCTACTTCTCTGTTCTTTTTGTTTAGAACGACGCAGACTACAATAGATATGGCGTAATCACAGACAAAATCGAAAGTTCTTTGGAACAAAAACACCACGAACGAAAGAAAAAACTTCGCTTCCTATAGTAAAATATAGTAAACATTGCGGGCCGTTGCGCTTGTCGCTAAACAATATAATATATACGTAGAGAAGACGTGAATATTTGCATAAAATTACTGAGCTGTAACCTTATATCGAGAGTGTTCACAACTCATGCACACACACACACACACACACACACACTTCGTATTATGTGTGTTGTGTGCGTGTTTCGTTTTTGGTATTCGGATGATATTAAGTCATCGCTTTTATAGTGTGACTCGATATCTACCAAGAGACGTGAGTGAAGTAATCAACAGAGAGTGAGAGAGTAAACAAGACATAAATGTTCGGTTATACCCATTTAAACATAGTAAACAATGCAGGAAAAAAAGAGACTGAAACCATCATAAAAAATACTCACGGAACACCTTTTTTTAATACGATTCCATAATTGTTTTGTTATTATTTTTGTTCCTTGTTTTCTATTTCGATCCAACAATTCGAGCAACCATATTTTATCGGAGCTGATAAAGTTTTCATGAGAATAATGTCATGTTACATTGACTCATGTAGTGGGTTTTTTAAGCCTGAAAAAAATCGATATGCTCAAGCACTATCGATGAACTGTTATCCACGCGCACCGCACCGCATTCACGTAAACGTAATCTAATGCCATCATACGTGATGCATTTTTAAACCTTACACTTCTTTGTTCAACTTGTGCGTTCTTGTCATATATGGTTCTTGTTGTGCACAACCTAATCGCGTTCGACCAACTGACACATTCCCTCCAATCCAACATCAACAGCCCCACCACATCTGGCTAAATAATTGAAATTAATTCGATGAAACAATCGGACGACAACGTTTTGCGTGAAACTAACAAAAAATACATCAAACGCGGCCTGACCCGCCCTTCACCAAAGCGAAAAAAAACTCATAACATATCAAATACATTTTATAAATTCGAACACATAATAAATTCCAATTTGCCATTTGGAGATATGGAATGTGGAACAGAAATTAAAATCAACACACATATGAAGTTTGATGTGTGGCTAGGGAGAAAAAACAACTGTTCTGTGTAGTGGGTGCTAATTCTTCTCGTTTCTCTATCACTAACATATATATCTATCTATTGCGTTGGTTTTTTTTCGGTCGACACACACCTAGCTAACAAAAAGCGATTGCAAGTTTGGGCTGCGGCTGTGTTTAACAACACTACTCGGTGAAACGAAATATGTTTTGAATCGACCAACTATATTTCGCATGTCTTTTTTTCAATTGGTGTGTATCAAATATCAGATATAGAACGAAAACAATAAAAAAAACTGTGTGTCTACATTATCAACTGAAGCTTGACTAATAAATTTTGTTTATTACTCGAAAAGCATCCAAAACCAACTTGAACAAGTGTGTTTGTGTGTACGTGAGAGAGAGAATAGACAAATCGAGTGGCTAGAATTTACTTACAATTTGATTTGAAGTTTCCTTTTTCGATTTCACAAGAAAACTCCAAAGAAAGCTGAATTCAATTTGTTTGGTTGGTTCTCACATAAATTTTGTTACACTTTTTTTTCTTTGTCTCCCTCGTTTTTGTTGTTGTTAATAAGCCGTCTTTCACACCGAGTGAAAAGTGGTGAACGCACGAATCGAGAATTTTCGCTTCGATTTTATATTTTCTTCGTTAGTAAAACGAAGTGAAAAAAAACGCACTGCGAACAATGAACTCTTTGCTTGTTTGGTCGAATTTTTTTTCTTCGAGAGTTCCTCTCGAGAAAAACGATAGATAGACGAAGCAAAATAAAAAAAACTCACAATTGATAAGTGAATTTTCACACTAGGAATTTCTAGATTGCAGAGAAAAGCAAACGCCGAAAAATTCAGTATGGCTGAAAATATCCAGATTTTTCTCTGTAGAAATGATTTTCGCCCCGTTTTTCACGTTTCAATATAACAATGGTCTTTGGACTAAAAACGTATGATATTCTCACGCCGCCGTAGCTCGACTACTGCCAGTTCAACATCGGGCTGTGATGCGTTTTGGCTAACGTTGTTATTTGCTTCGCTTGAGAATTGGTACGTATGTGTGTCTGTCTCTGTATGTGTACGAAGGAGCTTATCAACAACAACAACACAAAATAAGGATGGATGGATGCACACGAACACATATATAGCAACGTCGTCTGTTTAATCAATATATTCGCAGAAAACAGAAAAATACGATTTTGGCGGTGGTGCGACGATGATTTTACCTTTTTCGCCTATTTTATTGCGGCCTCTTTTCTGTTTAATACGCGCGCTGCCTTCAAAATGGTATTATTTATTTGCGTTTGTCACGAACCGGAGAAAGAGACTGAAAAAGAGTTTTACACTTTGTACTTCTCGTCGATGCTGTTTTTCTTCACTCCACCAGCTCGTAGGACAGTTACATCGACGACAGAATGGTTGGTAATAACAACAACAAGGGAAATATGAACTGCGCAAAAATGTAAACGAGGAAAAGAAATCACTACGCACTGCGCGCGTTTGTCGTGTATACGAATATGGTTCGGAATGTGGTCACACAGTTCAAATGACCAAAAATGTCAATGCGAAAGTTTCACTTTTCATCACAAAAAATACTAACGCCGTTTGAAATCAATCAATTGGCCGATGAAAGC